ACAAATAATTTTTTATCTACAAAAATAAATTAGGTTCAGGAGTTGATTACACATGAAAAAGGATTAGTATCCCCACAATGCCCATGAAAATTGGTGCCAATTGATCATGCCTTATCTTTGGGGTTAGATAAAATGGTTTCGGTTTGAAATTTAATAATAATTCCTTTTATTTTTTGAAAAATAAAATCAATTTTATTATTCCTTTATTTAGGAATATTGCAAAAAATCTTTAAGTTAAAAAATTATCTTAAAATCTTTCAACATCTAAGCAGAATTTAAAGATAATTCTTTTTGCTTAAGATTTATTATAACATTCCTTAAAAATAGAAAATAACATTCTTTGCAAAGGATAATTGTTGGTAACTCTCTAACATCTAGGCAAAGTACCAAAAATTATTTCCCTCATAATATTATTTTTTGTTTGATTTTATGATTCATCATTTTTAAGCTACATTTAAAAAAAACATATTTTTATGCAAAAAAAACTAATGATTATACAATTAGTTAGCAAATGATACTTAAAGGTATAAACAAATGAAACGAGTACAAATAATAATGAATAGATGCATGTATACCAATAACTGCTATTTATGATGTTGAAATGCAATTTTGAAGTTGGTCATTTATATATAACGAGATTACCCGACTCTCCAACATCTAGGCAGGATTTAAATGCAACTATTTATATTTAAAGTTTCATTTTTAGTGGTATTTTTTTTTTACTCTTTTGTTTAATCTCGTTATTATTTTAGGTTAAGGACTTGTATGAAAAACTTAATGAAATAAAATTTTCTAAATACTTGTCCTTTAAACAACATTCGAGAATAAATTACTTCATATGAGATTTTCATAGGAATTCTTAAAATTTTATGATGGTTTTGTGTATAGGTTTAGGTCGAGGCTTTTAGGGTTTGAATATTTTTTAAGTGATGATTTGAGGTTGCGAGCCGAACATACCTTTTCAAAATGTAAATCATGTATTTAAGTGTAATATTAAAAGCTACGAGATTAAAAAGGCTTTGAGAATGATGAGATTAAAGAAAGCCATAGGATCAGATGAAATTTTGATGAAGTTTTGAAATGCTTAGGTGAAATAGGGATAAGATGATTAATGGATCTTTTCAACAAAATTTATTGTACCCAAAAGATGCTAAAAGAATGAAAAAAAGAGCACTCTAGTGCTTTTATACAAGAATAAAGGTGATGTACAAGATTATTCGAACTATCAAGGTATAAAATATATGAGTCATACTATGAAACTTAAGGAAAGAGTAATTGAATGTAAGTTACGATGCAAAGTCATTATTTTCAAAAACCAATTTGGGTTTATAGTAGGATGCTCCATAACAAAGGTGATTCACCTTTTAAGGCTTTTATTGAAGGGTTTTTGGGTGAGAAAGAAAGATCTACATATAGCATTTATCAACTTAGAAAAAACATACGATAGAGTTCATCAATAGGTGCTTTAGTGAGCCTTAATGAAGAAAAAAATCCCTTTAAGGTACATCAACATAGCTATAAATATATATAAATGAGTGGTAATAAATGTGAGGACGATTGAGGGCATGACATATAACTTCCTTATTACCTTTGGATTACATCAAGGCTTAGCACTAAATCCTTTCCTTTTTGCATTAGTTAAGGATAAGCCCATTGGATGCATCCAAGATAAGGTACCATTATGTATGTTATTTATCGACGATATAGTCTTAGTTATTAAAACTTGTGATGCCGTTAATATGAAATTAGAATTATGGGAGAATACATTGGAGTCTCGAGGTTTTAAATTGAATAGATCTTAAATTGAATATATGGAATGCAAGTTTAGTAGTCACGAGAAAAGTGGATACTAGTGTGATTAAGTTGGATGGTGAGGGAGTACCAAAGAGTAACCAATCTTAATATTTAGAATCAATTATTCGGAGTGATATTAAGATAGAAGTAGATGTCAAACATAGGATTCAAGTAAGATGGGCAAGGTGACGAGGTACGTTGATGTGTTGTGTGATCATAACATGCCTTTAAAGTTAAAAGTGAAGCTATATAAAACAATTGTAAGACCTGCATTACTATATGAAACTGAGTGTTGGACTATTAAAAAATAACATAAGAAGAAAATGAATGTAGCGAAGATAAGAATGCTAAAATTGATGTGTGGTAAGATTAGAAAGCAAAATAAAAAATAAAAAGATTCAAAAAAAATAAAGGTAGTCCAAATTGAAAAGAAGATAAGAGAAGGCCGTTTACGATTATTTAAACATGTAAAACATAGGCCTAGCTGTGCACTAGTTAGGAGAATTTAGTCTCTAGATCTATGAGATATCAAAACATCTAGAGGTAAACCATGAAAGATATGGATGTAAGTAATAAAAAATAATATGATGGTTAAGAAACTAGATGAAAAAGTAGTTGTTGATAGAAATAAATAGAGCAAAAAGATTCAAACTATAACCTAACTTGATTCTCTTATTTGATTTTCATACAACATTTTGTTGTTGTTGTTATATATATATGCATTCATTGATTTTTTTTGTTGAAAGCTTAAAATTTAGTGGGTACCACACATAAAAAAATAAATAAATTTTATTTTTTATAAAATATATTTTGTAAAAATAATAGGCCAATTTATATGTTCACGTATTATTTCCATTTAGGTTTTTTTGTACCTTTTATTTTTTTCCTTTTTCTAAAATTTAGTAATTTTTTTTAAAACAATAAATATTGATGACAAAACAAAAAAAATTTTTATTTATAGCAAAGTGCCCGCATCCACCTAGTTGTAGTAAAAAAATTTTAAACTTCATATTGCAATTTTCTAGTCCCAAGTTCACTACCAAAGCAAATCCTATATTTAAAGCATTCTAAGCTTTATCTTAAGATAAATTAACTTTAGCTTTAAGTATGCTTGCTAATTTGTATCTTTGCGTTTATCTATTTCATATTTAATAGAAAATTATCATATGATAATTCTAACAGAACATTTTTTTTTATTTTCATCAAACCCACATATGAATTTTATTAAATTTTTAGGTTTTCATATCTTTTTTCATATTGTTTTCATATCAAGTCATGATATCTTATTTTAAATTAGAATTTATATTTGATACACTGTTAATGTATAGACTTCATATACTGTCAATAAATAAGATAATGTCACCTCATTAATGAATAAATATCAATTCTTAAAATAAATATATATAAAAATTAATATTTTTTAAAAACTTACTCATTAATGAAGTGGCATAATTTAATCTATTTCATTAATGAGATAGCATAATCCAACTCACTGATAGTATATAAAATCTAGATATTGATATTACATCTAATATAAATCCTTAAAATTATTAGGTCTAACTTTAAAGTAAGTTATTAGGATTTGTTTTGATATAAGAAAAGCCAATGTTTTTTTTTTTTTTCTAGAAACATCATTTAACAATCAAAATTAAGAATAAAATTACATAAGACTTCAAAGATAAATCAAATGGATTGAACTGAAGATTTAATCTCTTTTATCACCCAATCCGCAACTCAATTTCATGACATAAATGACAAAACCTGAACGAAAAGTTTAAATCATAGTTGTTAATTTCGTTTAAGTATTAGTCATACAGGCCGGTACACTATAGTTATATAAAATACGATACATCTAAGGATGATTTTTCGTACTGGGTTTGGTATCGGGTGGTATTGATTTTTTCGTTAGTTTCGGCCTGTTTTGGTGAATTTCAGAAAATAGCATGTTTCGATCAGTACGTAAATATGAAATATATTTTATAATTTTTAACTTGGTTTTTGTTATTTAATTATTTTTAACCTAATAAAAATAAAATTAATTGATAAAATAACTCATAAAAGTTGAGTTTCTTTATTTTTTATTTTAAGTTTTCAAACCAAAGTTTATAAGTATTTAAAAAACAATTATACTCTTTTTATAAAGTTTAACAATAGTAATGTTGTGATTAATTTTTTCATCTTTTTATTTTTATCTTAATATTTATATAAAAATACTTATTTAAATATTATATGATCAAATTAAATATTTAAAAATATCATAAAAAATTTATGACATTATTTCTTATACTTTTAAACTTATTTATTTGATTTTTGAATATATTTCATATTTATTATAATATATAATTTTATACATGTTTATAAGTATATTTATACTAAATTAAAAAATCTAAAATAATATACTAAAATAACTGATATCGATATATATTATATTTAAAAAAAAAATCAAAACGTTATCCTATAGGATATTAACAACTTTGGTTAAAACTGTTCAACAGCCTAATAATCTGAACAAGTTGAAAAGCCTCTGCTCTTGATCATAATAAGTTATTTGTTCCAGCTACATTTTGTTTGAAATAAGGCTTTTGGAGAACAGTACACAGAGTTCGTTTCCACCTTTAGATTTGTAAGTTGAAGCCAAACAAAAAGAAAATGACATCTCTATCATTGAGACTGATCTGTTTTTTAGCTTCTGAGAGGAATTTTATATTTTTTTCAGAAACTCACGTGAATCAAACAGTGTAGATCCTCAATTATAAGCCTCCCCATTAATTTCTTCGAAAATCCATCAATCCAACGACACGGGTTTGCTTGTGAATGCCTACTTGATGGAAAATCTCAAATTTCAAAGCTCAAAATCATTTGGCAAAGTTCGAATCCAAATTGATTTTTAGGGGTGATATGTTAAAAGTCAGTGTCAGATACGGCCACTTGCATGCCATTGGTCACAACAGATTAGATAAAAAAAAAAAAAAAAAGATATTCACAATACAGAAGCAAACAAGTGAACCAAGACCAGACACTGATGTGATCGAGAATCACTCCAATAATGATTAAAGTGATTTCAACATAGAATTGGAATTGTCTACAAAAGCTGAAACCCTTGCTTGAAAGAGAATTTATTTTCACCCCCAACCCCTCCAACCAAAAAAATGAAACGAAAATGGAAGGAGATTTATTCCATGTCTTGTTTACTAGCACCACTACTAATGGTGCTGCTGCTTCAAGAACTCACTAGCCCCCATTACAGAGTGGCTTCTGCTGCTGCTGCTGCTGCTGCTGCTGCTGCTGCTGCTACAGGTAACAGACAATGTAAGGGTTCAATGGTAGAATGTGGTGACATTGATGAAGAACTTCAAATGGAGTCCGAGTCAAGTCGAAGAATTCTCCAAGCTAATAAAATCAGTTATGGAGCTATCAGGCGTGATTTACCAGCATGTGGTGGCTCTGGAGGTGAGCGTTACAGCTGTCTACCTCCATCGTCAAATCGATATACTAGAGGTTGCTCCAAGATTTACAGATGCAGACAATGAACCTTCATTAATCCAATATGATCAAGAGTAATAAAAATGTAGTACTTTGAATTTGTGGTTTTTCTTAGTTCCAATAAAATTTTGGTCTCTGTTGCTTAAAAAGATTGTGATTATTGTTGTTTTTTTCCCACAGAATTCATAAAACCAATTATGAAGTTCCTTACATTCATCATTGATGCATGCAAAAGTGATGGAATTTTAGCATCATTACCTACTGTGTAGTGAATTTCCTGCTGCCTATAGAAAATAGATATTTGATTTTTTTTTCCTCATCTTTTTCTTTTAAGAAAAAAAAAAAAAGAAGACCACTGCCAATATATTCTTAAACCATTTTCGTCTGTCTGAAAAAGGACATAGAATGGTACCTGCCCAATTTCATAAATTCTATAAAAAAAAGCCTAAAATCATGGATTTCCCGATTTGCGGCCGCCAACCAATCCGTAATCCGTATGGGATATGCTTCATTAAATATTTGGAGCCACAATGTTATGAAATCATGACTTTGGTCATATGTTCCTTTTTGCAATAAATTTTAACTTTTGTTACTTAACCCCACCCTAGCTTATAATCAACCACTACTATTTTAATACAAATCTTTTGGCAATTTTCTGTTTATACCAATAGTTTTACCCTATATTAATTGCTCCAATTTGAGACTAATTCTTGGATATGGATGTGTCCGAACTTAAGCATAATTGTCGGATATGGATATGTGTCATTCATGATGCACTCAATGTTTTTTTTTTTTTTAATAATACATGAGCAAAAAATAAAGAGTTGAAGTAACACAGGAAAAATATCAACAGTCGTGTCATCTAAAGATAAAATACTGAACTTTAAATTTTAATAATCACGATTGAATTCTTAATAATCATTCTTGATAATCTCAAGTAAACAATTAAAGGTCTAAGAATTCTGATCTAGTCCTATCCTTTTTTTTTTCTTTTATGAAGATAAAAAGATTGCCAATCACTTGATTTCCTTTTCCAAACTAGTGAGATCACAATTGTCCCATCTGAATGTGCAAAATACATCACGGTCCCTCGGCTTATCCCTAATGCAGTATTGCCTTTTCAGAAAAGAAAATGCTCCCTGATAATAATCTATAAAGTGCTCAATAACTTAAAACCAATGGCAACCAAAAGCAAAATTGAACATCATGAAATCTCTTCATTTGTTCTTCATCCTTCTATTCTTTAGCTTACTTTGCCTCAGCAACAGTTCATTGTCCGTCAGCAATGCATTCATGCCATGCAATGGATCAATAGGAGAGTGCAATGAAGCAAATGAGGTGCTAATGGAATCAGAAATAAGCAGAAGGTTTCTTGAACAGAAGAAGTATAAATCACCTGGTGCACTGAAAAGAGACCAAACCAGTTTGCAATGGTGGCTCTAGTGGTGACGCTTATAGTAAAACTGAAGGTTGTCTCCCCCAACCATCCAATCCTTATGACCGAGGGTGCTCCAAATACTATTGATGTAGGTTTGATTCCTGATCCAAAGCTGTATTTTTCTCAATTTCATAGTCTCAATGTTCTAAAGGTTCATATTTGTTTTCTGCCTATTGCTGATCTGATTTTTCCATTCCAGATAGTAAACAAGGAAAAGTAGATAAAAAAACTAATACCTGAAATTTTCCTCTACAAGTAATAAGGCCAAGGAATTTTAATAGAGTACAATTTCCAACTATACTCAAGTTTTTACAAGATTTTTTTAACATATTTTGTCAACATGAATAGTGTTTATCACCATTCTTAAATTATTAAAGTCCCATCTTCAACAACAGTCATATGATGTGTTGGTAGAGTGCTGGACTCTTAGTTCCAATGATCTGAGATTAAACCCTGGCAGCATCAAATACCAATAAAAAAAAGTCCCTTCTTTCCGCTGTTACCAATTTATCATTCTTAAGCTCTATAAGTTTCTTATGTTCCAATTTAATGGAAAATGGTAGCATAGCCACCCAAAACTCCACATTGCTAATCAGACAATGAAATCATAAAGGAAAGCAATTTCAGATCCTAAGTATAGCAGCAAGCATCATTAGACAAGGCAGCTACTCATCAATTTATATGTTTGTCCAGTCCATGACTTGTTTGAGTGACTAAAGTTCAAAATTATAACAAATTCCATAAAAAGTATTTGATAATATCAAAGAAATATTTCTAACTCTATAAATTAAAAAGGAGAGAAACTATAATTATCAGCTGGCCTACCTGTTGAGTTTTCTCTTCAATTTTATGTACCTTGTATATTCTCAAAATGTCAGATTTATAGTGTCAATTAAGAAAGGGGCATTCCTTTACTGAGGAAAAAAATGTCAAAAATCTATAAAAAACCTTATCGTAGCTCAGTCAAGCATATACACTATTATTGCAATAAGAAAGTCAAGTCGGTACGCATGCAAGGCTTATTGGGTGAAGAATCTCACCTGTAGGCAACAAAGCCAAGCAAAGTTCTATAGTTGAAATAAAAAGAGTGCATGAGTTAGGGTAAGACCAGTTACTGGGGAGCAAACTCAAACTTCCATTTTATAATTGAATTAGGGGAAGAACTTAAAGTTGTCTCAGCATCAGAAAGGAAAAGGCCTAGGAAAACAAAAAGTTGCAATGGGTCGAAAATGAAAAGAAAGAAAGAAAGAAGCCAACAGTTGTCGGTATGTTGGTAGAGTGCTTAACTCCTAATTTCAGTAACCAAAGATCAATCCTTAGCAACCTCAAATACCCAAAAAAAAAAAAAAAAAGAAGAAAGAAGCTGCAAACTGATACAGGGTTAGAACATACCATACTAACCATCACTAATAATTAACTTGTCAATCATTATTTGAGTAGATAAAAGTGAAAGCCAGCTTGCACACATGTAAAACTTTGACAATATGCAGAGATAATAATAGTAGTATCTAAATTTATTCTTCTCAATCTTTCAATTCTGTGTTTTTGTTACCATTAACAATTTTTAAGTACACCATGTCCCACGGCCACGGGTACCAATGTTGCTGTCCCAAAGCAATTGTAAGGTCAATATCAACTTGTTCCACAAGTTCTACCAGCCAGAAACAAAATGCAAAAGGAAGATACAGATGCTAAAGCAGAATACCTTTTTTACTCATTTCTTCACTTCCAAAATTTTGACCAGTCTAATAAGCATATTGGTTCAAGAAGCCACAATTCTTCAATCAAACAAGACCATATAAGAGACTTTACAGCTGTGGTGTTGGATGATTCTTCAATTTCCTGCCAGGTGGAATTTATAGCACAGCCCTGATAAGAAAGGTCTAAACTATTACCTTCCTAGCACTCCCTTCTATCACCATTTAGCTAAGAGCCAACCACTGTATTGCATACAAACAGAACAAACTTCAGCTACTTCAAACATTTGATTGGCTTAGTCTATTGATGAAATAACCTTCCACTACAATGATTTAAACTGACATTGGTTATAATAATAATTATTATTATTATCATCCCGCATATACTACCAATACACAGTATAATCAAGCATTAATGAATTTACCTCAAGACATGCATATATCCCAGGAAGTTCGTGACCACATCCAAGCCGAAAACAATTAGAAGAACTCAGCAGGTAGTGGCAAGAAAAGACAAGCCAAGATATTATCAACATTTGTCTAAATATAAATTCACCATTTCAAGCCATTCTCATTAGAAGTTAAATCTATTGGAGAGACAATGGCAATTGCTTCCCCAATCAAATCCCCCTGGTTGAGAAGAGCTAACCAGAATCAAAATAGAATATCATGTATACTAGAAATCATGTTCTGTAAATAATGTACTACAAAAGTTCATATGCTACTCTAGTATCACATAAGTCTACTTGCAACATTCAAACAATCAAGAGATTTGAATAACAACAGTTATAAAGGGGAAGCTAGTATTGATTTATGCAGAAGGTTAACAATAAAATAAAACCAGTAGAAAAGAAAAAATTCCCTGAACATCAATGTGGTATTCACTAGTAACTTTAGTGTCTCAACTAATCAAGCATGTTAGTGTGTCAACAAGGAGTTGGGTGGTAAAAACCTAGGAAATTGTGCAGGCTTTTAATTATTCTGCCTGTGCATTTTTTAAAGATTCAGTTCACACATAGCAACATGCCCCTTTGTTAGGAACCCTAATAATAACACAAACAATATATCACATCCGTTAGGGTGACAAATAGGAATCCAGAAGTGAAGCCAATATCTAGGTATGTCGAGTATAATCATGCTTTCGTATTGTTGAGCCATATAAAATCACCTGAAAATTAGGAGCCCAACTCAAAGACTCAGCTTTCCCTCAAATGATAGGTGGCCATTCTGAACCTTAGAGTGAACAGCTTTCCGTAGCTTAAGTCCGCCTAAACTCACAAAACAAAAACAAATGAGAAAGCAATAATTACCATGTTTTAATCATTGAAGCATCCTCAAAATGCATTCATCATGAACAGGAAAATCAAATGTGGAAGCTAAAAATAAATTCTAATAAAAAGGTTAAAGAAGAATATTGTTACAATCCTTCATATATTCCAGGGACTATATCCGAGTTAGGCAATCCAAAAACCTCTTTAGTACTCACCCGCCCCTTAAAGAATGGCAAAATATAGTTTAGCATTGTAGAATTTCAACTACTATCAATCTCACAAGAGCACCCATTTATGAAAAATAACAAATATTTGAGCATTTTTATGGGTTCTTATTCATTTCTAAAACTACAAAAAAATAGATCCATTCTTTTTTTCTCTTTTATATACGGATTAAGAAATAAAAAATCAGCTTTGAGTAAAGTAAGGCCATCCAAGTTGAGAGGCTGGACAGTGCATTCAACAGAAGAGGATGGTTACTTCAAAGTCAAAACCAAGCAATCAAAAAACGTACGTTTACTTAAAAATCAAAGACTGGAGCTTGGAAATCGGTATCTCCGAGGAAAGGACTTCGATGGAGAGCGGAGGAGGTGGCAGAGGCGGCTCTGACGAGTCCAGAAACACCAACCCTAGACTGGGTTTACCGTTAGATGATGAAACAGTTGGAAACATGAGTTGGTTGCCATTCCCTGTTCCTGCTACAAACTTCAGAGTTACAGACCAACGATGGGGGAGAAGATGAAATTTTCTTTTACAGTTTCTTGCATGGGTTATTTGTGGTAGCCTGGCTGTTGGGCTATGGTCTGTGAGATTAAGGATCCAGCCCAATTGGGACGCTCTTTTCAATCAAACTGGCAAATTGAGCTTAATCTTTTGCAAATATCGCAAAAGTCAACAACACTCTTACAATTTGAGATGAAAAAAAAATAAAATAACAGTTTTTTTAATCAAATTTGAATTATTAATTTTTTATTTTTGCATATTTAATGTTTTGATTATTTTGATAGATAAATGAAGGTAGTACATATCCACATTAACAATTATGAAATTGTTATTTTTTAAATTTATTTATTTCCCCCATAAAAATTTGTTAAAAATTCCATTTTAGGTTTACAAATTTGGTTATTAATTCAGCCTACCGTTTTGTCTTCCATGCAAAAAAGGATTTTATTATCTTCTATTACGTTTGATTTTCCATAAATAAAACTTTATATATATATGATAAATATAAATAAATTATATCAATATATATTGATCTAAGTGGTAAAAAGCTTGATTACCTTTAAATAAAGTTTTAATTTCGAATCTTATAAATAAAAATAAATAAATACTAAAAAATTTGTTTCTCTTATACGATTCGATTTAGTTCGATTTTGAAATAATCAAAATTTAAAGTGATTATTAGACATAAAAAATTTTCAAATAAAAAAATATATATAAATAAATTATTAAATCTAATGAATAATTTATAAAAATTTCAAAGTTTCAAATAACTTTTTTCTTTTTTGTTTCTCACATAATACAGTCAATCTCTTACGGGACAAACTGGTTACTCCTAACACTTAGAAGTTGGTGACTCCCAATTCATTATTGATGGGTCCATCAGCCCCAGAAAGCAGGTCCAGGATACACCGCAATCTTAGGCAAGACATGGGGCTTTGGGACTCGCTTTAATCTAACTTGTCGTGTCCTCCCCCTCCCCCCCCTTTTTTTTTTAACAATTTCTGTCAAAATCCCGAGAGAGTTATCACATTCACATGCAACCATGACAAAGCCCCTTTCTAGTGTCGGCAGGACCTTCAAGTCATCTTCCGAACTTCACCCTACCGGCATGTTATGGATTAAATCCAGTAATTTTGGATATATTATATTAATAAAATATAAAAATCATATGAATTAAAGTTTTTGTAAACACTTTTTATAAGTTTTAAAAAAATTAAAAAATATGTTTTATATTTAAATATTTTAACACAAATTATAATAAAATACCCTTTTTTTTTTCTTGGTGACAACTGACAATGGCAAACCTCCAAATACACTTTTTTCTGTTCTTTTGGTCAAAAGTGGAGTGTGGAAAGCTTAATGCACTATACAAAGAATGATTATCAACATAATTAAACTAATGTGCAAAGCCTAATGAAACAAGAATGATTCCATCCCAACAATAAATTAATGAGAAAGGGAGATTAATTTGAGCATTTGAAATCCCTAAACTATCCAATTAAACTCAAAGAGGGCATAGATCTCAGATTCCTGGTCCCAGTCATCTAGTACCTCTGTACACGCTGTTAAACCATAAGCTTCTTAGCAGGAGCAATTGCAAAAGAAAAAACGATCAGCAATTAGAAAAATGCTTCTGATGATGAAGGATTCAGAGTTTTCTTTCCTCCTTTTTGGTTTATAAAAGAAAGAGAGAGTGAGTAAAATCCCAAACAAAACCAAATTTCAGATATCACTCAGAAATTTATTATATTCTTATCACGCAAGTACAACTATTGAGATAGAGGACTACAAAAGAGATCAAAAGATATATATATATATATATATATATGAGATTGTAAGGAATGAATTAAACATATCATTATGTTTGTTTGAGCTGAACCATAAACAACATACTGATGAATTCCTATTGTAATAAATTCAAATGCCATTTCCATAAAGAGAAAATGTGTACTTATAATCATCCCCATCTGCAAATCCAACGCTAGGATCCTTCCCTTCTCTGATCATATTCCTAACACTTTCTATTCTCTCAAGAATACCCTTAATTGCTAAATCAAATGCATCCTCAAGAGTCTCTAGTCTAGACCTTGGATCTGCATAAACTACTCTTGGAATTAGCCTTATAACCTCCTCTCTCAAAGCCAATATCTTGTCTTCTGATATTCCGAGTAATGTTTCATTGAGGTTGATTTTCCATTCGCTTAAATCCTTTACGGCTATATACACTGAGTATTTAGTATGATTCTTTGGCAAATGCCATTTATATTGGGCATATGCTGTACCCGGATGGAAAAATACTGGAATGCACCCTGCCAAAATCGAGTCGAAAATTGATCTTCTTGTGTATGAATCCCCTGGAGGCTGCAAGCAAAAGATTGAACTCTGAAAAACCCTCATTACATTCACCGGGTTATCACAATTTGTTGCACCATAATTACAATCCAGCAACTTGCACTGATTCTTTGAAGCTAAGCATTGATCTATAATCTTGCCCCGGATGGAATTCTGATATTCAGGCCTAGGAGCACCAGCAAAGGTGAAGAGATAGTGCCGCTCTTGCCTTCTCATTCTATCCTGCCACTGGAAAATCTCACCGTCCTTTGAAGGATGGAAACATGTTGGATATGGAATTGCATAATCATTGTTCCAGGAGCTTGATTCTATTGACAACATTGACATGTTCTTGGATTCAGGCAAGAACCTAAGCTTGCTGCCCCAATCGGATTCATTATCTGTTTGTCTCCTGAAATCCCAAGCAATCCTTCCAGCAACTAAGAAGTGATCTCTACCCCACATTCTTTTCCACTCAGGCTTGTCTGCTAGCCACTTAACTAGACCAAGGGAAGCAGAATCTCTAACTGAAATGTTGAAACCCCAAAGATACATGCTCATGTCAAGACCAGCATAAAACGGTACAAATACAGCTGATGCTACAGATGAATCATTGGTTAAACATTCATACATTTTCATCTTGTTGTAAAACATGACTTCTAACAAGAATTGATTTGTTAAAAACCAGCTATTGTTCAGCAAAACATTTTCAGGGTTTTCAATTTGAGGACCAAAGCCCAAGTTCTCTAAGTATAGACACATGTTTTTATCAGTTCCCCTGGTAAGCAACCGACAATTCTTAACCAAATCCTTATTGAATCTAATAGGAAGATCATGAACAAATATATATCTTCCCAAACAAGAATCCACCTCAGTTTCCCCTTTCAATTCTTCCTCTTTGTCAGCCATTTTGTTGGCCTCATCAGTTCTGTTCACCAAAATATTGACAGGTGGGCTATCGGGCAGTTGAGAAATGCTATCATTAGAAATTTCAGTGAAATCATGGGATAGAGAATTTTGGGTACTGATTGCATTTTCATGATTGCTATCCAAAGTAGTGACCCCAGTTTTTCTACCAGTAAGAGCTGAGTAATCAAAGCAAAGCAACTCTAAACAGAAAACAGAAAAGACAAGGAGCACAAACCAGGGTTGATTGTTGCAGCACTTTGAAGTGATGGGATTTTCCATTTTCTCTAGACAGGCTTCTTTCCTCTGCAAATTCCCGAAACAACAGCCAGAAACAGGAAGGAAAATGGAGAGAGTTCTGAGAACTGCATAAAAAACAATTGAGAAACAGTGGCTGTTTGCTTTTTAGTGGCGGCCTTGTTTCCTTGATCTGAGGCTTGATGTATTGAGGAGGACCTTAACTTGAGGTGAAAGTACAGGGGATTCCATTGCCATTAGATTCTTGCATTAGACAAAGGGAGTTTTAAAGCGTCTAGATTAGCGAGCAAACGTCCGTTACTTGTCGTGAGATTAAAGACAAATGGCCCTCCATCCCTTTGTTTTCTCTCACCATATGTAAGAACTAGGGAAAAGAATATTAAAATAAATTTGGCTTAATAAAAAAAAAAAAAACCTCAAATATAAAGAATCCCTTGATCTTTTATTATATTAAATTAAAATTATGAATGTTTATTTTATTATAATTATATCCATTAATCTTAAAAATAGATGAATGAAGCAATTTTTAAAATAACATTTCTTCGAACATTTATCATTCAACATATTCAAACAAATCTAAATAAAAATGTTCTACAAATAAATAATCCAACTAAAACATTTTTAATAGAAATTAAATATTTTGTATTGTCAAGGTTCTAAAGTAAAAGTTTATAACCTTAATTTTATGTAATAAAATATCAAAGATTAAGATTATTTTTATTTTGTGTAAAATTTAACGGTTTATTTGTAATTATCACAATAAATTTTGAAGAACCAAAATTTGGGTTCTTTTTCTTTGTTCATGTGAAAGTTTAAATGCTCTCTTCGTAGTTGGATGAGATGTTGGCTACTTGGCTTAGTGGTAACGGGTATGAAATTTTGAAGTTTCAATTTCAAGTTTCTTTATGTATGGGGTTTGTCCAATTTTGGGATAATTTTACTCAGTTATTTGTTGATTTTTCTATTTTATATAATTTATTAATTTTGTATATGTAATATTTAAATATAATTATAATTTTATTGTACGAGTAATTTTATTAAAAAAATGTTAAAATTAAAACTCTATTTTCAAAAGGCAATAATAAAATAAATGCAAAAAAAAAAAACACAAAATTCATAATAATTCGCTTCCAAAGAGTTACATCCACTTTACAATCGCTTCAAATTTTGTTTATTATAAAAAGAATTATAAATGTAATAATAAAAATTTAAATTGGTGGTCGAATAATTAAGATGATTAAAGTTGAATTGTGTGTTTACTCTGTGTAAAAATAATTAATATTAAAGTAATAATTAAGTTTCACATAACTTTAAAAAAATGTTATATTCGTAAAAAACTAAAAAAAAAAAAAAAAGTGGGGTCACACAAAAAATATGTTAAAGAGTCAAGAGTTTTAATATTTGTTAAAAGGTGCAAAAATGTTAATGCATTGTCTAAGCATTCGTTTGGATGATATTTATTATTTATAAAAATATTTATTTTAATTTATAAATATAATTTTTTATTAAATTTAATAAAAATCAAATATCTATTAATCTGATTTTCTTCAAAACAATAAAAAATATTTCTTCAAATAACATATTAACTAACTTTAATTATTAGTAATACATACACCTATTAATCTGAATTTATTATTATTATTTAACTTTTTTAAAAAAATTATATGCGTTTATTATTAAATTAAATGTTAAACCTACAACTTATTTCAAGCTCTGATAATTTATATAATTATTTTTAAAAATTATATTTAATATTTATAATTTCAAATTGTTGCTCATCTGTAACAACCGAAAAAAAAAAATTAAATCAATAGTTTAATGGATCCAACTCTGTTTAAATTTGTCCAAATCATAAGTACTGATTCTGAAGGGTAAAGCTGAATCTAATTTGTCCCAAAAGTAATTTCTTGACAATAATAATAAAGAATAAAACTCAAAGATTTGTTAAAAGAAAATAATAATAATAAAGAAACTCAAAGATTAAAGAGATTTGGTGTGTTTACTGAGATGTCACTTCATATGATCCAATCATAATTTAAACTTTTAATAATTATTATATATAAATTTAATATTTTTTATATAAAATATAATAAAAATATATAAATTTTAATATTTTAGTTCGACACGAATATTTATCTCGTGAAATCTAGCTATCCCACCGACAACTATCTTTTAATAACTGCCATAGCATAGCTATTGTGATTGAGATCTCAAATATTGTGTCATAATAAATGAAGAGAGACCAAACCTCTATTGAGTGCGAAATTTAATTTTCCATCGCACCCAATCACAAAGGCATGAATTTCGTGATTTAATTTCCCTTCTAATCTTCCAATTCCGAGAAACAAAACAAACCCCAGGCATGAAACGCGTGGATGTGGGGGCAGTCTAGTATTTGAAGGACGGGAAAAAACACTTGATAATAAAATATTATAATAACACTTGTTAAGTACTATTTATGAAGACAAATTATTTTATTCATTGTAAATGAAATTTTAGATTTCATAAATAAAATTAATAAAGTATTACTTACTTTTAAATATATTTAAAAAATAAAAATTTGAAAAAAATATATATATATAATATTATATTATAACATATATAAAAATTTTATAAAATTTATTTATATGAATGCTTAGGTGAATGATTTTTTTTCAATACGTAAAAAAATTTTTAAAAATTTTTTTTATAATAACATGTAAAACATTTCTTAATTTTAAGCTATTTATAAAAAGTATATATTTAAAATTATTTAATTATTCAAAATTTTTAAATTTAACTGTAAAACCAATTCAATTTATTTTAAATTGCAAGCAATAAATTTTAATTTAAATATATTATTTTAAAAAATGTATTTCAAAATAATATAAATATATATTTTTTAATTTAAAATTTTAAAATATAGTGATATATTATCTTATAAAATAGATTTTCTAATAATATAAATATATATCTTTTTAAATTTAAAATCTCAAATATAATGATATTATAAAATACATTTTTTTAAAATATAACTTTCATTTTTAAGTATAACTTTTATTTTTAAAATTTAAAAATATAGCATTTTAAATTTGAAATTTAAATTATAACTTTTATTTTTAGAGATTTCATAAATAGTCTTTTATTATTTGATTATTTTTAAATTTAAAAAGACCAATTATTACATTAGAAGATAATTTATTCTTTAATGATATTTTCAATGTTAATTTTATTGTTTGATTTTTTTTTTTCAACCTTTATGCTTGACAAGAAATGATTTTTTAACCTGTAAGGTATGCAAAATTTTTTATTATATTTTTATAACTTTTTGAAATACGATATGCATATTTGTTTTACCATATTTTTTATGATACATGCAATCACATGTTAAAAAGTTAAAATCAATACTTTTATTGTTTTTAAAATTTTTATGAAAACTTTAAATATTTTATTTGTTTCAAAGCGTATGCATGGATTTTAAAGAAATTCTTTGACGATTCATGAATGTTGGAGCGGAGGAAGAAAATTGGTTTAACATAATAATAACTATTCTGAAGCATTGTGACAATTGAAGGTAAAAAATATTGGTTTAATTATTTAATCATTATTTGTTGTTTTATTTATTAATTTAAAAAAATTATTGAAGCATACTTTTAATTATTGATTTTATTGTACTTTTATTTTATTTTTTTAAATTATAAATAAAGACAAATGACTAAAATGCAGTACTAATTCTAATATCATTATTTAATATAAAAATAAAATCATATTTATTTGTTTGAAATTAATTTTTATAATTTAATTCTTTTATAATATTATTGGTTTTTTAAAGCAATTAGTAAGTAGTAAAAACAAAAAGCAAATTTTTTTACCTTTGAAATTGATTACAAAATCATGTGAATGGAAATTGACACATTCTCATTAAAACATTTTTTACAACAAAATTTAAAATAATTGTTTAAAATTTAATACTATTACTTAAAATTTAAAATTATTTCATTTCATTTTTTACTATAACTCAAATTTACATCAAATATAAAGATTAAAACAAGTATAAAAATTAATTTGACAAAACTTATGAATGTTGAAGATTAAGATGTTATTAAAATTTATGCAAAAAATGTACATGTAAATAAGTTATGCACGTATATTATTTAAATATTTAAAATCATTATTTTTTTCAAATAAATAAAAATTTATCTTAAAATTATATAAACTTGTAGGTATATAAAAATGATTGCAAATTATAGAAATAACACAAATTGAAGAAAATTAATTTAAAGTGATAAAACTTTAGTTTTTAATTTAATATTTTATTGTGTAATCAATATTATTATGTATTTTGAATTTTTTAGACCTTTGATTAAAAATTTCAATTTTATTATATTTTGATATCTTAATTATATTATTTGTAATTTAAATATATATTGAATATTTAAGTGATTAAATAAAATTGATTTATATATCTATTTATATATCTAAACATATTTAAATAAATAAAAATAATCCATGTATTGCAAGGTAACAAGCTAGTAAAACATATATTAATATTTTAAACTTGTTTGTGAAATTAAAAACTTATAATAACAGTATATCAAAGACTAAACATTGAATTGAAGTCCTTGCTTTCTTGTTTTGAAAATTTATATTACTTATAAAGTCTTTTATTGAGTTTAATGTCACAAATTAAGTATCACTAATTCAATTTAAAAAAAAAATACTAATTTGTGGGTTGATTTTTTAGGAAGAAGTCATGACTATCTGACTGCTCAAATGATCTAATGGTTCTCATTCTTGATACTTTCAGCAAAAGCAGGAATAGACCACCTAAATATAAAGCTTAATAGTTTTTCTAAATTAAAATTACATCTAAGTGCATGAAAGTAAAGATAAAGAATTGAAAAGCAAACTAATTAAATTGAAAGGTCTATAAGATAATAGAACTATTATTTATGGTTTTTAAATTTTTTTTTACATCATTTTAACTGATTTTAAATCATATTATTTTTGTGTTCTTTATTTGTATCGATTTTATATTTATATTATATCATTGTATCTTATTTTAAATTGATAGATGTAATCACATTGAGTTTTTCTTTATTCCTTGATTTTAGCCATACATTAAAAAATGTGTTGAATTCATTCTTAGAACTAACTGTCAATAACCGTTCATATCCGTGTGTTAGATTTTCTAACAGGGCTGATCATCATAGAGTTTCAATTGACTTGAACCCTTACGAATTGGATTGAGTCCACAACGAAATGGATTTCTTGGATCCCTTGTCTTGTTATGTTTCCACGATTGTGGGCCTTCATTCATTATCTTTGGATTCATGTAATTAATCAAGCATCAAAATTTTTTTAATCATATTGGGTTAATAATCCAATGA